GCGAGAGCGCGACCGGAGTGAAACCGTTTGGCTTGGACGGTGGGGAGGTGGGTGGGCATCGCCCTGCAGCCTTGCGGCGTGGGGCAGACCCAGGCTTTATCGCATGGGGAGACCTGGGCACATGGCCGTGTGGGGGAGCGATGGCAAAGCCCCGGTGGCTCCTTCCCCGCAGCCTCGGCACCAGTACTGTGCAGTGAGGCCTTCCTGGGCTGAGCTCGCTGCCTTCTGCCTTGCGAGAGGGGTTGGAGCCTGAGCTCGGGCTCGCAGCCTGTGTGTGCCGTGGTCCTGTAGCTCTTGGCCTTCATGCCAGCCCTCGGTGCTCTGATCCAAGGTGATGGGCGCTTGGTGCAACAGACGATGGCAGCGGGCAGGCTCTCCTCCTGGGGAGCGTATCGCCCTCCCCCTCGTTTGGTGGTTACACCTTGGTTTTCTAATAATTTTCTTTCCATTCTGCATTGCGATGGGACGTTGAAAAACTGAGCGTAAAAAGCTAGCGGCGGGTACGGACTAGAAAGACTCTTCACGTTTCAAGGAGGATGAAGGGCCGTGAGTTTGCGTGGGGTTTTCAGTCTCAGTCTGTGCAGGACTTGCTGGGGATGCTCTCCTGTGGGGATGTCACCAAAAGGTGCTCTGGGCTTGTTCTGCTCCTCTGCAGGCTGGGAGAGGGGGGAAGGGGTGAAAAAGCATCGCAGGAGTGAGGCGGTGGGCACGTAGCTCCATGGATGCTCTCTGCAAACAGCTGCCTCACCGGGACCGTTGCTGAGTGCTCGGGTTGTAGCTGCACCGGGCTGTGTGAACTCAAGTACTTTCATTTTATAGTTGTTTGAGGTGTTTTTTATGAAGAGTGCCTGTTAAAATCCAGCCAAAGCACCGGCTGAGGCCTGCTTTCCCCACGATCAAAGGAGGAGCCGGGAGATAGCATCGCCTTTTGTTTGTGTGGAAGAGGTTTGCTGCACAAATAGAGGAGTTACACGTGTTTGCAGAGCTCTCGGTGAGAAACGCTTTGATTTGGCATTCAACCTTTGCCTGCTGCCTGTTCAGCCCAAACGTTCCCATGCCGAGCCGGGGCCCGGCAGGCTCGGAGGGCGAGATAGTAGAATTGACTTCTGTTTTCATTGTTTATTCTGAGCAAAGTGCGAAAAATAATCAGATCTTGAGAAGTCAATTGCTCTCTTGAAAGGACCGAATTCCCCCTCGCATCCCGGGAGTGGAAGGGGAATTCCAGGGGCCCTTGGCTAATAGTGCCATAATGTGAACTGGAAATATTTCTCTCTAATCACCCTGTGGGTGATCAGCGGGACAGGGGGAGCCGCCTCCCATGCTGCAGAAGGGTTAACCTGGACAGCGTCCCTTTTTAATTTAAATGGCATTTTACAGGCTATTAATTTTGACATTATTTCCTTTGGGGCATAATAGTCTAGAAACACCTTTGTTTTCGGAGGAACGCTGCTTGTTGGTGTGGGAGGCGAGTGACACACAGGTTCGTACTCTCCGGATACGGTTCGATACGTCCGTGTCCAGGTGGAGAAAAGGCAGCAGCATTTCCGTGCAGACCTGGGACGCACAGTTTGTGCGTGACGTGTCGCTTGCAGCGAGCGAATCGACGTGAGTCACTTCTGCTTATCCCAAAATGCACTCATCTGTTCTGTGTGACTTCGCGGCTGCGAAGGGCTGGCGGGCAGGGATTTCCTCTGGTGGCGTGGGGAGCTCGGTTTGATTGCAGTGGCGGCTCGGCTCGGCGGGAGGTGGGGCTGACTTTCTGTGCCGCTGTGGTTTCAACCTGCCCGACCGCCTGCGCCGCTGTGTGCGAGAGTACTCAGCCGTTAAACCTTCGATGGCTGCTCAGGGTCCCAGCCCTTTCGGTGTGCTCAAAGCCAGAATCTTCGGCAGGATCGTTCGGTGGGTGTTTTCCTGCTGGGGGCCAGGCTAGACCTTTACTTAGCCAAGCTGGGAGAAGAGACAGCGGTAGCCCCTCGTCACTCCAGCTGTAACCCAAGGCTTGCCCCCTGAAAAGACCCAGCCCAGCATCCATCCCTCACATGCTGGGTTGATGTTTCCGTGTTGGTTTATCCCTCCGTGTGGGTCGTTCCCCTCTGGGGGCAGCTCCCGGTGCTGTGCCTTAGCTGATTTCTTCCAGTTCCTCCTAAGATTGCACGTTTGCTCTCTGTGGCCTTCCTAGGCTCGGTTTAGCTGGGATGAAGTCTTTGCAGTGCGTTCGAAGAGATGGTCTGGAGAGCCGCCCTGCAGCAGCGCTGGGGCTTCCCCAGGCACCGCAGGCGGCTTTAAAAGCTTGCGCTCGGCCGGCTGCTGCCGGGCCCGTCCTCTTCCAGCTCCTGTGCCAAGCAGCTGCCTCGTCCTTCCCTGCGCTGGGACCCCAGCAGACCTCCCCTGCACCTCTTTGTGGCTCTTTCCCCCGAGCAGTCAATGGCGAGAGCTCAGTTTTGATCCCTCCACCCAAACCTTCTTGGGAGGACAGCGTCCTGTCCTAGCACGCGTGCTAGTGAGCAGCCAGTCTGGGCTTTTGGCTGCCGTCCTCGGTGGAGGAACGCTGGAGTGGTGCTGCCGGCAGCGGAGCCGTGCCGTGTCCTTCTCTCCCTCCTGGTGAACGGGCAGTGTTTGCAGAGTGGGACCTTCCTGCGAGGAAAACCCCTGCAGCCCCTCCAAGGCTGAGAGATGATGAGTGAGGGGTTTGGGTCACGGATTTTTTTTTTTCTTTCTTTTTTTTTTTCCCCCCCTTTTCTAGAAGCGGAGCAGGCGAAACTGCTCGATCATGCTGTGCTGCTGCAGGTGATCAAAGAACAGCAGGTACAGCAGAAGCAGCTACTTGACCAGCAGGCAAAGCTGCTGGCTGTGATTGAAGAGCAGCACAAGGAGATCCACCAGCAAAGGCAGGAGGAGGGAGGAGAGGAGAAGCCAAAGCAAGGTAAGGACATTGCCAAGGAGTGTGACCCCCTCCACGGGCTGCTCACTGCTCAAAGCAGCTTTAAAATCAGGCTGGGAGAGATCTGAGTCCCTTTGGCACACGGCAGAGTCCACCCTGCCAAAGCCATTCCTGTGTCTGACCCTGACCTCCGAGCTGGGGATCCTTGGCTCTCCCCCATGGCTCTCCTTGTTTTCCCGCATGGCTGTCGATGGTGTGATCTCTTCTCCTGTCCCCTCTTGTGCAGAACGAGGTGGCAGGAGAAGGGAATCTCTCGCTCCTAAGAAAAAGCTTTTACGTGTCGGTTTTTGTTCTGCAGCAGAAACGCCGCAGGAGCCCGCTGCGCCTGTCTCCAAGAGCAAGGAGGACGAGGGCCTCGGAGCTAAGCAAGAAGCTGCTGCAAAGGCACCGAGCAAGGAGGTGGTGGAGCACCCTGCGCAGGGCCCGGGCAGGCAGCCTGCTGACTCCACGGAGCAGCGCAGGGGGACTGCAGGAAAGCTGGAAGAGGCTGGGCACAGGCGTGAGCTTCCTGGGGTTCCTCCCAAGGAGCAGAAGGTGCCGCCACAAGAGAATGAGCGAGCTGTTAAAAATCCTGCGGAGAACTGGGATCCCCTTCACGGGGATGCCCAACACATTCCGGCAGCCAGAAACCACCTAGAAAAGAAGCCCTTGGCGGAGGATTTAGGAGGAGATCATGAAGCCAAAGCTGGAAGAGACGTCCACGAGAAGAAGAATTCCCTGAAAGCTGTGGAAGTAGCTACAGCTCCCATCCAAAGAGAACAGCTGGGGGCTGCCAAAGTTCAGGGAGTAGCGGGAAAGAGGCTGGAAAAAGACTCATTTTTTAAAAGCAAAGCACTGAGCCAGGTGGAGCCCAAAGACCTGGCAGTTGCACTGGACTCCTCCAGCAGAAGGAACGTGGCAGAGAGTGAGCAGCACCTATGGGATCGTCAGAGAGGTGCAGACGGTGGCGAGGGCGCTGGCCGGCGGCAGCAGGCCTTGCAGAGGGACCTGCCGGGCAAAGGGGAGATGAAGGAAGCAGCTCCTCGGGAGAGCGTGGTGGATGCAGCCCAGGACCCGCAGGGAGGTCTCCAGAGCAAGCAGAGGCGCGGGGATGGGGGTCTCTCAAACGAGGCTGAGAAGAAACCGGGCCCTGAGAACGCTCCTGCTCAAAAGCCCGAGAGAGGAGCAGCTGCCCCAGCGGACCAGAAGCTGGACCCCGATGTCAAACCGAACCGGGACCTAAAACTGCAGGCGGACCTGGACCTCCGCCGGAGGAGGCGCGACCTGCTGCCTCCCGAGGAGGAGGAGGAGGAGACTGCACAGGGGGCGGGGGTCTTCATTGGCCTGAACCCCCTTCCAGATGTGAAAGTGAACGACCTCCGGAGCGCTCTAGAGACGCGGCTGCACCAGGTTGCGGAGGGGGCCCAGCAGGTGGTCCACAGCCGGCAGATCAAGCAGATGAC